TACATAAAGCACATAACAATACTCAAGCGTCAAATTTTATAATTATCATTTTTATATATGTATATATAAAAAGAAATATAATGTCCGAAACAGTCCGCGTTTTATATAACTACACATTGAATTAATATATATTATTTATAATGCCATTCACAAACTACGCATTCAAAGTTCAATTATACGACTTGAACCTTATATTTATTTTAGTAAAGATTCAACAGGCTTTTACGCATAACTATTTCTTTTTGCGTCTATTACACCCAGCATAACAATAATCTTAATTTTTTTTTTTTTTCTTTTTTTTTCTTTCGGTCGACCGAAGGAGGTAGAGGAGGGGGCAGAGCTTGCAAGCTACTTGGCGCGCGCGGTGCGGCCTGTCAATCATGTGCGCGGCGCCTCGCTCGCTTCTCCTTCTCTTTCGTATGGCCTTTATACAGCTGCTGCTCTGCTCATAAGCAGCACCTTCTTTTTTATTTTTTTTTAATTTTCATTCGTGGATTTTAAAGCTCTCGCTTAGCTACACCGCACGCTTTGGTACGATTGATACACGTCACGATGCTTCTATATATACGTGTACATATTACGTTAATGGCCATCAAGCGATCCTCGTGCAGCACATAAATATACTGTATTGGCTTTTCTCGATGTGCTCCCGTTCCCTTTACAGAATATACATACCCATCACAGGTGCATGGTTGTATACGTGGTGGGCTTATTCCCTCGCTTCGCTGGAGCTTGCGATCGAAGTGCGGGAGCTTTCGAAAGTAAATGGACCTTTTTTTTTTTTTTTTTTCATCGGCAAACTCCGCCGATTGTTCCATCCTTTTAATCAAAACTCCTTCTCTTTTTTCGCTTTCGACGTCGTTGAAAGGATTTTACCTGGACAATCGAGACTTTTCTTTTTTCTTTTCTATCCTTGGTAAAATATACATTTCAAAGCGTCGAAGAGAGACATACAGGTACCATTACGTTTTATTTGTCACTCGTGTGTATAGTTAAACGAAATTTCTTTGTACGATAATTCGCGTTGGTCCAATACACTTTAATAATGATACATGTAATTACCATACAATCGAGCCGAGGCATGAAATTTTCGATAAAGTATAAACAGCTGCTACAACGAGTGCGTTAAACACTTCATCGTACCTACTCATTGTTACTCTTTTTTTATATATATACGTCCCTTGGACCCTACGTAGTCCTCATAGAAACGATAAAGTCGTTTGCTTCCTTCTTCTCTATCCCTCCTGCATTTTTAGCCTGCGAAATCAGTAAATATTTACAACCACGTCAATATATGTATATACACATACTGCACAACTTTGATTACAAATGTAAATACCCATGATTCTTGTTTTGAATGACACACATACGAGAGCTTGATTTTTAGCTTATTCGTTTCGCGTGGCAGTCGCATGTTTTTTTCGCATTTCCACGACTTTGGTTTGATGAGACTTGGGTGAGCCGCGGTGACTATAATTAGAGGGGCTATCATTACGATGTAACTTACAATAAATATTGTACGTAGATGTGACGTTTGCCGGTGTAAAGCCAAAAACACTGCGATTTTTTTTCTCCCCACCTCTCTGCTCGTAATTTGCATGGATTATCGTGTATACAAGTGCATTACACAACTGCACTCGTGTTCAATTAACCGCGAAAAACGTATTTCGTTACGTTCCACGTACGTCCGTTGAATAACAAGAAAATTGAAGAAGAAAAAAAAAAAAATTCAGTTCAGATCCCACGTGTATGAAAATATATGTGTGTGATTGACAGTATTGCGGAGCTCAGTAGCACAGGTCGCGATACCGGTGCGCAACGTCAGCGTGGACATTGGGGACAATGTGACCGTGCCCTGTACCAACGGGACCCAAAACCTCGACGAGACCAACAGGGTGATCACGTGGATACGGGAGGGACGAGAGGACGGCCAGATAAAGAGGCTCAGGGTCGAGTCCAACGGGGTGCTCAAGCTTATAAACGTCAGTAGGTTCGACACCGGGTTTTACTACTGCACCGTGGACAACGATGGGGTTGCCAGGGATCGGATATACGTCAAAATTCGAAGTGAGAATAATATATAAAAATACGTGAGCGTATACTTATATACATATATATGTATTGGTTTTTCATGTATATTGTCATGTATCGTTGGGTTTTTCAGCACCACCTCCGGCTTTGCACAATGTCTGGGTCAAGCCGTCGACTATACTAGCGAACATCATTTGGGAGGTGGCGGGCACGGGTGGCTACCCCATCATAGATTTCACCGCTGAGTACAGGTTGAAGCCGGTCCACGGGGAAGAGCCGGAAGCTTGGAAGCCCATCATCCCCACGCACATTCCTCCGAACGCCGTGAGTGTCGGATATATTTTCGTGCTGCTTGCGGATACTTAATTATGTTACCCGCCGATTAATTGTACCGTTCATTGATTTTACAGAGAACAGTCGATGTGTATCATTTGGAGCCAAACACGACGTATATTTTTCGAGTATGGGCCACCAACCAGTTGGGCAGGGGAGAGATCGTAGAAGTCGAGGGACACACGCATTACAGCGTCGAGGAATTAGGTACGATCGTACAATATACTTATCGGTTCATATGCGTTCGAATGATCATGCATATTTTATTTATTTTTACTTAAAAATTCTTTTTTCTTTTTTTTTTTTCATAATACTTTAATAATTTTTCTAGAATTGGAAAGGCACTTTCTGGCAGGAGTAGAAAATTTTGATACGCGAGTATGGGTTGCTGCTGTGGGAGTTGTTATGGGAACTCTGGTGTTTCTAGGGTTAGGTACATGCTACCTGTTGTATCGGGAGTGCAAGGCACCCTGTAAGCATCTTCTTCGTTATATTTTGAAACAATATAAGCTTACGCTTCTACTCTATCTCTTTGATAACTTATCATGTTGTTTCTGCTACTGCTAACGATTATGGTAAATGTCACTGTCTTTTGCATTCACTGTACTAACTCTATTAACAAATTTATAAAAATAAAAAAATTAAAAAAAAATTAACAATAAAAGTCAGTAGCAGGAACAAAAGACTTGCTGGCCTCTGAACTTGTCTACAGCCCTAATCTCTATAGCTTCACTTGAAAATGAGTAATTTTTTTTTACAATTTGTTTTTTTTGCCTTATTTTACTCGCTATTTATATTCTGTCGCGGTGCCATTTCGTTATATCTTTCTCGGCTGCAATCGCTTAGCTGAACGTTTAGACTTTGAATACATTTTTTACAATCTAACCAATTTTTTAAAACTTTTTTTGTACCATCTCGATACTTGTGCACTTGATTGACTTATATACTTTTTCAATAATATGGCACTGAGACTAACGATTAATCGATAATCCATAACTAAATTTTGCACTTTTGAAATACTTTACATGTACTAAACTTTTTTTTCTATAAATATAATTATAATTGGACCTTTTTTTTAACCACCAAACTTATTCGAAGAGATGGACCATATCAATATACATTCACGTCATGCATTAACTATATTACTTAATGAGTCGTAGAGATTAAATACCATCTCATAATCAACAACACCTGTAAATATAAACATATATATCACACAGAAAATTTTTGTATCGTTAATAATTCACGATTTTATGCTATTTCAAGGTTTATCTTACCGATGCTACGTACTAAAGTTAAGGTAATAAGTTTTGGTGGTTTATTTACTAGTATTCATTTTTTTTTTTTTTTTTTTTTTTTTTTTTTTTTTTTTTTTTTTTTTTNTTACTATACTCCTAACATTGTAACTACCTACACATAAATAGTGCATCAAACAGTGCTAGGAACTTTTAATATTTTAGTATGTAGAGCATCGTGATTTTAACTCAGATATATGAGTATGAAACCTCTAGAAAATTCGGGCCACGTAGATGTAGTTCAATCCGTAGCGAATGCATTTGGAGATAGGTAAATTAGTTCATAATGACTCACATAAATCTCACGATATTACAGAAAGCAATATATATTATTTCGTCCATCGCGAGTATCAAGCCAAAGTGATGGCTCCTAAAGTGTTTGATGGCTCGAGCGCGTAGATACACACACGCACACATTGGACACGCTAACAGCTATGTATTACAGAGATTATGCAATATCNTGAAAACTGTGAAGATTTATTTACAAAACAAATTCATTACAAATATTGGTACAATAAATATAAAGTCGTTCATAAACTTAATGTTCTTATTACCAATTTTCTTTATTTTACTTTAATTGAGCTAATGATTTAACCACTGAAACACACAGAGCTTGCAAATCACTTGGTGCTGTGTACTCTGCTGCTAGAATTGCGTTGGCAACTGCAACGATGTTTTCAACACTGGCCTTAGACTGTATCCATATCCTACCATTCATTCCAACTGCAAGCTCGTACTTTAACTCTTCAGATAGCAAACGTAACAGTGGACAGTTTTTGTTAAGAATCTTCCTCACAAGGTTCAAGGAACATGTGAAATACATGCCAGTTGGATTTAAAATGCCAAGCTTGCCTTTTTTGCCAAATGAATCAACACACACCAATTCTGGCTCCATATCTTTACTGGCCACCAAAAGTTTTGCATAAACAATATCTCCTACTTGCACATCAGGCCTATTTCTTTTAGTGGCGCCTTCAAAAGCAATATACGATAGAGATGCTGTTTCACTTGCACCAATGTCAACTTTAAAAATGTCTCCGGCCTTTTGTGTGACAACACCAACAACATTTTCACCTTGGCTAGGAACATACCTACAAGTATAAAATTATTAAATTAATATCGAAAAGAAAAAAAACAAATGAGGCATTTTATTGAAATTATGATTACCTTTTCTGATGACTGTCTACGTAATAGACGGCCATGCGTTTTTTCAAGATTCCCGCTTTGCACGCGTACACCTTTTCACCATCAGTTCGTAAACCTGGACCTAATATGATTTTTTGTTGGTTATCTTTTGAATCAACATCTTTCACCCTATCTCCGGGCATCACTACATCACCCACTGACAGTTCCATTTTAGAAATATTTTATTTACATTTAAAAAGACCGAAGCAAACAACCTTCTGACACTTTTTTAAGAGGTTAGGTTAACATCAACAACTTTATGAGGGCATGCGTGAGCTTTGCACTCCTTCAGCATTTATTCCTATCATTAATTCAATTTAAATCAATTCAATATTTCGCAGTTCTACAGCAGCCCGGTTACGACATCTGCATAAAGATAAAAGAACAAGCTAAGTGCACAAAAACACGTTTGAGTGCACGAAAGCGCGCAGACAAGTTTCAAAGCAGAAAGCAGACGGTTTCTATTTTATACTTAATTGTTACTCGTTGATCGTTACGTGGGATTGTGGGAAAGAGATATATTTGTTTAATATCAATGTAACACGTGTCAGTTGAAATTTACGCGTTCCTTCCGCCCGGCGAAGAAAAAATCGGATGCGAAATCTCTTCCGGAAGCTGCTTGTTAGTTAGCCTGAGAGCAGATTCGTCGAAACGATTAGAAAATTACGTGAAGCACGTGTAGTGTTCTNCGTAGATGTAGTTCAATCCGTAGCGAATGCATTTGGAGATAGGTAAATTAGTTCATAATGACTCACATAAATCTCACGATATTACAGAAAGCAATGAATAATTTTTAGTATCGCATCATCACCATCAATCATTCACGAATAATATAGCTAATATAGCATTTCCTCACTAATTTTTATATTTATTAATTTTTTTTTTTTCTTCTTAACTACCTGTAGTTTATCTTTTAGAATAAATTTTACATAGTTATATTAACCATGTCGATTTAATAATTTTATCTGATATAGATTTGCAGTGAATCGTCTAAATATATATTTACGTATTGTTTAAACTTCATACGTATTTGTAAAAGTAAGGTAAAGCTTTTAATCAGAATGTGATGTAACGTGAATCTCAAAAAATTTTGATCGATTACCATTTTTAATGCTCATTTAAATGTTTTACTAATGGTTTGTTGCTTGTATACTAATTTTATACATGTTCTTTTGATTATGATTATTGTTTATGTGTTTTTAAAAATTTTTGTAAAGAAAAAAAAAAAAAAAAAAAGCCAAAGCCAAAGGAGTCATTATGTTCTGAATGAAAAAAAAAAAAAAAAAAAAAATTCGACTAACCAGAGAGAGCGAGAAAGCTCGAGAGTTGACCACACTTAGTCAAGGAGAGAGGGTAGAAGCTAATATGACTCGTGGACCGGGCCAATGAAAATTAATCTCCGCTCCGAAATTGCAGCGCAGCTGGAGGAGCAGGAGGTGATTGAGCTCGTGCCGAACATCATACTTAATCCGGGTTTCTTCGACGAGCGCACGGAACGCGTACCCCACGACGAAATCTGCAACAATCAAACGACCACGCGCCTCAACAACAACACCATTGTGCAGCCAAGACGACTTTAGCGACTGACATTGATTTTACTCCTTATTTTAACGGCTGAAACGTGGGAACACACCCCACACTACTAGTACTACACTCTAATCGTCATTTGTTCATGATGATGATGATGATATTCCTCCTATGCACACACATTCAGGAGAGCGTTTCACGGCCGTGTATTTGTGTGTACACGTAAAAATATAAGGTTTTAACGAGCTCGGGCATACGTCATGTGTGCATAACTATACACGTGAGAGGATGTCACGCGAAAAGAATGGATGAAGAATGGAGAGGAGGAAGAAACAGAGATAAGGCGAACTTTTTAAAAGTAAGTAAACTCACAGACTGTTCACTAGCAATCCATCTTGTTTGCGGGTGAAACAAAAAAAAAACCTTAGGATTTAAAATGCGAAGTTATTATAGTACAGAAATCGAAGCGAATACCTAATCTGGGCTTTTGGTGGTGAAGAAACGAAGCGAGTCCGGCGAGAGACTAAAAGGCAATCGATGAAGAGACGTAAACTCTATTGTTTGAATTTTTTTTATATATAGAACAAAAAAAAATTTGTGGAAGCGAAAGGTTCCATTGTTTGTTCACACGCGTATACATAATTGTGTAGTCCGTAGTCAAGTGTTCAAAAGGATAATAACGCAAACTACAAGACTAAGATTTATAGGTTTTCCAGAGCGAACAGTTAGACTTTTTTAAAGGAAACTTAATTAAAAATTTAAAAAATAAATAAATAAAAAACATGAACATGCGTTTGCCGTTCGTGTGTGCCTCGACGCAGTCTTTTAGTGAATTATTATTAAAAAAATTATGTGAATCGCTGGTGCTCAACGACCGAGCTTATTAATAAACGAAACTTCCACGAACTTTTGATCGAGCGGAACGAAATAAATGGAAAACATGTTGTTAGTAAGACTGTAATAAAAAGTAATAACCGTGAGCTCGTAATCGCTGAGATGTATAAACGCGAAATATATACTGATATGATGCTCCCATGACACGAAAAAAAAAAAAAAGAAAAAAAGAAAAAAAGAAAAAAGAAAGACATTACGAATTGTCTTCTCAGTTTCTGCATGAATATGATTCAGCTCTCTTTATTGTTGTTCCTTTTTTTACTTTTAATTGTGATTTAACAGTGGAGTTGGGCACTTATTGATTAATGTTTTTAATTAGTGGTGATAGATTTCTGTATACCAATTATTTTTAAATTTACCCTTATCTAGATTTGCATTTGTATAAAGTTCAAGTATTTATTCTATTTTTTAGTTAAGCTTAAGTATTTTTCACAGTATTTTAATATCATATACGTACGACGCCATGCAGAAAGTGAGACTTTTTTGTACTATTGTCGGGGAAAAAAAAAAAAAAAATAAAATAAAAATGAAAAATACAACTAATGGCATATTGTGCCGCTTCGTCCCCATCGAACAATGGGAGGCTTGATTGTCGTCGCCCTTAACAATAAAATCAATGCAGTTTGCTAAAGTTATTTTTACTGCCGTTTTATGGTGTAAAGGTGGTCTTGCGATATATTTAGTAAAAACAAGATTATAATTGAAGTTTGCACCGAATTTCAAAACAAATAAATAATTATTAAAAAAAAAAAAATAAAAAAAAAAAAAAACAATGGATGGCTGTACGTAGAATAATGGAATTTTTTTACCGAGAAATAAATAACAAAATTGCACTTAATGTATATTATGATCGACGTTTTAACGAAGAAACAAAAATATCAATGTAACACGTGTCAGTTGAAATTTACGCGTTCCTTCCGCCCGGCGAAGAAAAAATCGGATGCGAAATCTCTTCCGGAAGCTGCTTGTTAGTTAGCCTGAGAGCAGATTCGTCGAAACGATTAGAAAATTACGTGAAGCACGTGTAGTGTTCTTGAAAATAATGTTAGTTGAAATTTGGATTTTATTTCTTTACTCATCGGATGGACGATACGTGGGAAACTCACAATTTTTCGCAAGACGTGGATTTACAATAATTATTACTATTACACAAATATGTCAACAAAGCAATGAATAACTCATTATTGAGCATTTTCATAATTTACTTCAATTCACGTCCAAAAAAATTGTGATTTCAAGGAAAGTCTCATTAATCTTTCTCTACATACCCACCTAAACATATACATTCATACCATATGCGCGCATGTCATTTTCAAACAAACTATTCACACATTCCACTAAATAATGCCATTCCATCAAAATTAAAATCAAAGCACGAAATGAAGCTTGAAAAAGCTTACTACCTTAGTACATAGACTAGCCAAATGATGTTTAACTAATAGCCAGTTTGACAAAGGCAGCTGCTGTCTTTCACTATTTCCTGTGCAATTAGAATTGATAAAGCGTTAAAAACTACACTGACTTCCAAAAACGGAAAAAAAAATTAATTCACCTAAATATGATCGAAGGGATAGGCACTCATTATGATCGAAGAGAAAAAAAAAAGCTTTATCTTGGGTAAAATTTTGAACGGAAACAATCGTACGGTTTGAACTCTCAGTGACAGGGTTGAGTCTTTACGTGCTAGTACACTTATAAAAATGTGGATACCTAATAATGTACCGGTTAAAAGGGACTAGACTTTAACGATGAAAGTAATAGCGAATTTAATTTTCATACACCCGAGAGTAACACTCGACTCTGTTCATATTGGTGGAGCAGGTACATGAACGGAAGGAGAATATTCAATGGATACTTTATTCCACCAAACAATAGCTGCCGCGTCATAGGCTGCGTAATACGAATTCCACTGTTCAGAAAGTTAGTTATGTTATTTTCGTTTCTTAATTCGATGCAAACGTTTCTTCTTAAACGACGATTAGATAGCTGGGGGAAAAATACTAGTTAATAAATTTAATTGACACTTATTTTGAATTAAATCAGCTATACGTAAAAATTTTTACAAGCGCTGTTCTGCTCAATAATTTATAAACTATTTAGTCTTCGTAGCACGACATGAGCACAAACTTGAGTGAACATATGCATCTTTCATTTACCCGAGCACTTTATAATGGTTTTATCGTTCCAGATTTAAATATTGTTACAAAGTTTTTTGAAAAATTTATGAATAGTGTATATCTTATTAGCAAAAAATTTTACGATGATTTTTATAAAGGATATACTTTGTTGTTATTAATTTTCGTATGAAAAATCGTGTTCAATTCGAAACGAAGTAATTTAATTCAACAATATTCACCATCGAATCGGTTGCATTATGTTGGTGAACTGCCACTAAAACCAGTACTAATCGTCACATGATAGAAAAAAAAAAAAAAAATACATAATAAGTGATATTTATGTAAAACAGTTCCACTCGTTGGGTTGTACACTCTTACATTAGACTCGCTTTTGTCAAAAAAGTTTCGTAAACAATATCAAATTACGTAAAGAAAAAAAAAAACGAAACGAAACTACGACATTTTGGTGCACATAGATAAACACTCACATATATAGGTTGTATAAATGATCGGTTGTGCGTTCAACATTGCATACGTAGAAGCTTCTCGCAGTTTATTTCCTCCTTTTGTAATGTTTTGTAATACGTTCAGTTACAAAAGCTTACAATGAGGACGAACAAGTTCGGTAAACAGCTTCGTACTATGCACTCTGTGTTGTGAATGGTTATTCATATTTATATATTAATATAATAAAAATATACACGCTGAATATGATGATGTAAAAAAATAATTATAAAAATAATAATG